AAAGCAATAAGGTATGACCAAGAAATTAAGTTCAAACACCAAGCTATATATTAGGCCAACAGTAATGGGCCAGGCACATGAGGTGAGGTTTAAAGAGTGCAACAAAGGCAGAAACTGAAATTTGATATGCTAGCAAAAATTAAGATTATCCAAACTGTTTATTCCCACTATATTAAAAATCATCTAAAAAGTAGCAAATGAAAACCAGAAGTAAAGTAACAGACTTTTCTGGCACTATTATATCAAACTTCAAAATTTAAAGAAATTGCCTGTATCTCAAAGATGAATGCATAAACAAAAACTGCTCATGTGTGGGATGTGAGCTTAAAGGACAACAGAGGAATTTTCAGAATTTTGTGATCATAGTTCCTGGGTAACAGTTTCTTCATGGAAGGAACTGATTGATACTTGGACAAAAGGAAATATTATTCATTACAACATGCTTCTTGAAATTTTCCAGATCCAGCTTAGACTGAGACCAGACTTGTAACAACTTGCACCATCAGCAGCTGTGTTACTCTGGTGAATAACATATCTGCATGCATAGAACCAGGGACTGATTCTAACTAAGCAGCAGAGGGCAGGGACAGCTGGATGAGTTTTTATATAACAATATAAAAAAAATTAATATAATAAAGGGGAATATGCCTACAAAGAACAGGTCGAAAAGAGAGCTGCAAACAGATTGCATATGGAAAAAATGCTCATGGCCTATGATCACAGCAGGCTGCAGATTCTTGCATTTTGCTACTCTTACAGAGATACTCCCTTACAGAGAATGTCAAAGCCTTGTATTTCAAAATAATTTATGCCAACAATACCAATTGGATACAACCTTACAGTGTCTTACAGTGTTTCTTCACAGCAGCTGTATCTCACTCATATGCTTTTGAATTGCATTTCAGGTGGGTTTTTTTAAACATTTGTTGAAACCATGACGAGCTGCCAGAAATCACGAACAGACAGTCTCGGAACAGTTACATGAGCATACTGTGAGCAGCCCTGTTCCAGTGCACCCTCAGTATCAAAAATTTAAGAACAATTAAGACTGCTGATGCTGGCCATTTAATGTTGCAAAGTTTACCACAGAGCAGAAAGCTTTCTGCTGTAGTGGCTGTATGTTGCCCAGCTGAGCATCTGCAACGCCACACAGCCAGCATATTTGGCACTCACACTGCCCAAGCTTTCCCAATGCCTTTCTCTTATAAACACTTGTCATCACCAAGTCAGAAGGCTCACTCAGGACAGTTTTGTTGCCACTGGCTGGGGCAATAGAACATACTAGTTGCACTTCTATTCTAATAAATATTAAAGGGCATTTGGCAAAATCAACAATGTACTTTACCAATGAAGGGTTCCAAAGAGGATTTGTAAAGACAAATGGGGAAGCAGCATTCCAAAAAGATGTGAATGATAATCTGGAAGCAGCTGGTCCATAGCAAAGAAATCGTCAGGGTGAAAAAAGTAAATGCTGTCGAGCTGCAGTGAACTAGGAAGGAGAACCACAAAGTACACCAGCAAGGTCTGTACGCTGAAAATGTGTGTTTAACCTTGTGCCAAACAGGCAAAGGTCTCCAGATGCAGGAAACTAACTCCAGTGCTGAATTAAAACAGCAAGAAAACAACTATAAAATGAACATAAGCAGTAGTCTATTTTGATCTATGACAAAAATCAGTATACATTAGTAAAATATTAAAATTCATTATTAATAGGTCTATGTTGCAGATCTAAAATTAAACAAATGCATGCCTCCCACAGATAATCAAAGACCATGTTTTACTAAAACATGCAATAGCGTAGTTAGTGATATATTTTCTGTTGTTATTGCATCCTAGACCAAATTAGAAACAAAGAACCTCACTAATTAATGTTTATTTTTTTTCCCCTTAGATGTCATCTCTTTCTTCTACTTTACTTGAAGTGCACTATCACTACCTAGGAAAAGAGCATTAAAACTTTCTGCAAGAACAGGGTAATAGGGAAGAAAATACATAAAGTTTATCAGACAAACACTTATGATGTTCCTTTCATGTACTGGTTAACTTAAAACAAGAATAAAAAACACCTAAATTACTAAAAAAAAAAATAAAAAAAGGAAAACAAAACAACCTCCCTTTTTTTCTCTCAGCATCTCTGTCATCAAAAATTTGGCAGCAGTGCACATCCAAAGCTTTTATCAAACGAAGCCACTCATCTTTACATTGTTCCATCTGTTTTATTGTAAAATATTAGACATTTACGTATTTACTGTGTATGTATTTCTTTTAAAATGTGTAAGTCTTATGTAAATGGATATAAATATGATTTTTTAAAAAATAAAATCTATGGTACATGGGGTCTCAGTGCAAACATTTGACAACACAGTGTCAATAATACTGTTTGTATCTTTCCATTCCACCATTTTTACAGTTTTTGGATTGTAACAGTCAAATGAATATGTTTAGCAGAGTTAGAAGCTTCAACATGTTCCTACTGAGAAAAATCTGTCAATATTAAAAGCTGAACACCTGCCTCTGATGATGTATAATAGAATACATAACCTGGAACTGGAGCCAAAATGGACCTCTAAAGACAAAATGGAGATGTCAGATATCTGTAGAGAAGCATCATGATGGCTCACCTCTTAAAAACAAATAAATAAACCCAGGAGAACTGTTTATAAAAAAAAGGCAATTTAATAAAACATGATTTATACAAAAAACCAAAAACTTTCTTCTATGTTACCTGTGGACCAAGAAGAATCTTGCTTTACCAAGAGCCACCTTTTTGTTCCAGGATCTTGAAACACCAGCCAGCATTGGAAAAGTAAATCTAATATTTGCATAGAATCAGATTCTCGTTTCCAGATATATTCAACAAAGAAAAAGAAAGACAAGAGAAGCCAAACCCCACCATTTCTTCATTCTAACAGGGCATTAGGCTCCTGTCTAATGTTACGCTTTTAGCCAAGATGGCCTTGCTGAGACTTCACAAAAGTCAGTTTTATCAGAGGAAATAACTGAAAGACAGAGTGATTAATATATAATGTATAAAAGTTTAGAAGAGCAACTATTACCTGCTGTGGCTTTATTTGGTGGTGTTATTGTTGTTTATTCTTTGTTTAAATGGGAAGTTTCAAAGTAAGACCTACTTAATAGTCATTTACCTATTTGCTATTTTTCTGCTGCTTGATCTTAGCTCAAGACCTGTCTTTTAGTTATTTCTTTAAGCAGTTTGATCTGCAATGTTTGCACGTACATAAACATTTGTTTTGTCTATTTTCATTTGGCAAACTTCGGTCAATCAGATGGTGAAAAATTTTTCTCCCCCAATGTCAATAAAAAAAGAATTCAGTGCTATTTGTGTTTATAAGTCTATTAAGCTTGGTACATAGGAGCATTAAATTTGGAAACCAGTTGCTTCTCATGCATAAACACATTTTGACACTAACAGGTATGAGTCACGACGGAGTTACTGGTCAGAATCCGCCACGAGAGGGAGCAGTGAACTTGCTGATGGGTGTGATATAATGGCAGGGTTATAACTATATAAAGCCAAGGCTCTTGTAAATACAGTTCCTCGGGCTTGACCGACATCGTTGTTGATGTTCTTTCTCCCCCTCCTCCCTCAGCCTCCTTCTGGATTATTTTAGTGTAGAATATCTCAAAGTAAAATAATTCAAACACCATTAGCAGTGGTTGCAGTATCATATGAATACACGTTTCCTTGTAAACACCCGCTCACATTTTACAGAATTTCTTTTGCAGCCCACATTGTCACAGCCCACACTAAAATTTAGGGGATGGGGTTAAATGAGATGTGTTGGGGAAAAGAATGAGCCAGATCTTGTGACCAAAGCTGAAGTTATTTTGCCCCAGAAATACAGCACCGTTAGCAAAGCACCCTGCTGATTCTTAGAGCCATTAGCATTTACAGTCCAGTCTCTCACAACATGTTTTACCCTCTGTTCAGATTGAGATTTTCAACTAAATTGAATAACTGAGCGGGGGCGGCAGGGTTGAGGTGGGCTACCTCATACAATGATTTAGCAAAAAACAAGTACAGCACAGACTCAAACGAGGCTGTTCTATTATATGACTGTATGACCTGTTTCAACATGACTGGCTGTGCTGTATGCAGTCCCAAGTGAAAAAACACAGGAACATTTTACATAGTTCTTATACAACTAGTAGAGCTCACCAACAAAAGATCACAGGCACAAGGCACCATCAGGGTATGGCTCACAGTAAGTAGCACCTATCTATCACCTTTTATGTCCTACATCAATCTGTTGGTTTATTTCATCACTTTACAGGGATATCATCCTTAACTCTATCCACCAGCACACAACAGTATTTCTGGACTCTTTTGAGGACCTCTCTTATATACCAACATCATCTGAATTTATGTATTGCTTATTGTTTCTTCCTCTGGAAAGCACTGCTGAGTTTGAGTAACTTCTCTGCTTTTAAACTTTTCTGTATATGTATGTTTTTTAAAGCATTTTTACCTTTATTGTTCAATGAAAAACCTGCAGCTTAAGAAGTATGTAGAGAGTGTATCCTCCATCTCCTGGCTTGTTAAGAACCTTGTAACTATTCTGAAATGGCCTATAAATTCCAGGATAAGCTACTTAGTATCTGTATTTGCTAAATTTCTTGGTTATATATACCTCGGCAAAAGCACATTCTGGTTATCCTTATCATAAGGATATTTTTTTAACAAAAAAATTATCAGAAAATGCAAAGAGTAAATGCCTACCTTTATTTAAAATCATGTGTATTATTGAGCAGACAAATGAGGATTTTCACATATTTGAAAGCCAGAAATTATTTATCAATCTACAAAAAAGACATTTCAGAAAGTTATTGAGTAAAAAAATTATAGGAATCTAATTTATAGCAGAAAGTCTTAGGAAAAAAAGAAATCAGTGGAATCAAGAAAATTAATTTTAAAATTTTTAATTTTAGAAAAATTTAAAAAATGTAAAGGCTTCTAATTTACAAGTGAGAACAATTTATGTCTTCAACAATTTTCACAATTAAATTCCTGTTTATTGCTGTCCTCACGACTTAACTTTTTGTAAACTGTTGTATTCAAACTCAAGTTACTGGTCACATTATACAAAAACAGATTGAAATGAAAGGTTACATGACATCATACAGATAATCCCATGACTCCTCCCCTTTAAGACTATAGAAATGTATGAATTCTATGTGCAATTCTTAGCCATCTTAATAACCAGCATATATTCACAACATGCAGAGACTTTACTATGTGTCATTGGCTGTGACAAGATGGTAAAGAACATAGTAATGTTTCTGCAGTAAAAACATTTTGTTCCAAATCATGACTAGTTTTTAAAATGCGGTAACCTTAACAGACAGAAAGTCTCTTTGTACTTCTGTAATTAAAATGTTTGTTATTGATGTATTATCCCATTTAATTTTTCTTTAGCAGTTCTTCAATGTGTTTAAACACGCTAGCATCTTCAATGGTTGGTGTTATCTGAAAAGGAAGAATATATAGAAGCATGTGAGAGTAGACAGAATTTCATTTAGAGATTCTTCAAATCTAGCCTTCAAAAGCAATCAACAAAAAAGTATCTGGAAAGCTCTGGAGCATAAAAACCTTTTGGGTAAGTCACAGTAGAAATAAAATATAACATACTACCTTAAGTCATGGACCAGTTACAGAACAGTCAAGAGAATTAAAACCATAACGTTGTGCCTTCAGGTGTGCACGTGCGCCTAATTCATTAAAGCACACATCTCCAACTTGCCTTGTATGGCTTTCCACTGACAAGTGCAGAAAGAGCCGAACGTGGTATCTTGCCAGAGCGTGTTTTTGGTAGCTGTTTCACAAACATCCCCTTCTGGAAAGCTGCTACAGGGCCAATGTTAGTTCGAACTCGCTCAACAATCTCGTTCAAAATCTTATTCTTTTCTGTCTTTATACCTGGTGAAGAAAGTCATATCCTTTACCTTTTCTGAGACTTTTGTAAGTCTTAGTGACATCAGTATCAGTGAGTTCTCACCTTGTCTCAGTACACACAGCGCAAATGGAACATGTCCTTTTAAAGGATCCTCCTGGCCCACAACAGCACAGTCCGCCACAGCGGGATGGAAGAGAATACACTGAGGGATAGAAAACAGAAGTAAAGAGAACTAATAATATAATAGATGGACATTCAGTGAAAAAATTCCACAGTCATGGACATTTAACATAGTTACTTCTTACATTTTGACAGCAAAAGGTATGTAGTCAGTACACCTGAGGATTCCAATTACATGTGTTGCAGATGTATATGAGTATACTTTCATACACACAGTTACATGTATTTCTCAAACAAACACAAGAAGCAAGAACTACGGAAGCACAAGACAGAAATCTAGAACAAACCAAAGGTAATTTCTTTGGGAGAGTATCACATCTTTGTTTTTTTAGTGAGATCTTTGCTGGAACAAATAACAGTAGTCTAACATTACAATTAACATGGAGCTAAATGCGTGGATTAAGGACCAAAACTACAGAAGCACTCCTACTACTGAGCTATAAAGTCATATTGGTTTATTCTCTCTAACTCTTATCTTTTTTATTCTTTGCTGCTGTAAAGGCATAGTTTCAACCAAGGCAAAATGCAGGCCTAGACTCAGCTTGCAGCCAGCCCAGCTCAGCTCACTCTCTTGGAACCATTAGGTCTCAGCCTCCTGAGACAAAAAAAGTAATTAAACCAGAGCCCCCCTCCTTCCCAACACGTTACACAATAACACATTGACAAAAATACTCCAAATTTTCATTTAGTTAAAAAAAGTAAGACATTCTCTCTTCCTTCCAATTAGCTAGCTGAGGTTCTCACTTCCTGAAAAACAGTCACCAAGATGTCTCAGTACGTACCAAGATTGTGTCACTAAATCTGGGACAAAGCTGGGCTTAAGATGCCAGGAACTGTGAATCCTCTTCCAAAGTAACTGGCTATTTTCATGTAGCTATCAGTATGCCTTGGGGCATCTTGCTGTCAACAGTGCTTTCAGCACTTTTCAGTCCTCTGGACTGAACTACAAAGAGAACTTAAACATGACCCTACACAGAGGCCACATCATGTGACTGTACATACAAGGACTATGTTCTTGCTAATAACTGAACTTCACATACACTGTTGCCAAAATCAAAGGCAATGGGATGACTAACTAAATTTTAAGAAAAAAGGCCTTTTTTTGGTTGTTTTTATTAAGTAGGAATCATTTCTACTGGCTACTCATACAATGGTATGCGAATGAGGAAGACAGGAAAAGTACAAAGAAGACAGAGAAAAAACCTGAAGAAATGGAAAGCTGAATCACTGTTTTTCCAATTAACAAAAGGAAAGCTGTTGTTGACCTGTTTGTGAAACCAATGAAGAAGGAACAATTCAAAGGATTTCCTATAACCCATCCTCAAAACAGATTTCACCATCCTTGGGCATTACAGTCAGAAAGGAGAAACTGGCTCTATGTGTCATGGTCACTACACCAAGATACACAACAACATACACCAAGATCAAACTGTTTCTAGCACACTTTGTTTGTCACTCACTTCATGAACTATGATTCTAGAAATATCCCATGCTAGAAAAAGGGTAAATGGAAAACACTGACCTTAATAGTAGATGCATGGTCTATCAAAGTACAAAAGCATGAACATTTATGCACAGCTTTTGAAACTATATATTTTTTCACAGGAATTAAATAGGATGTGCACAAGTTACATACAGAACAGAGGGCTGGGCTTACCCCGGAATTAGAAGGGCAGAGGAGCCTGCTAGATAAAAAGCTGAAGCTAAATATATACCTATACATTTAAATTCAGGTATGGCTTGTTTTTTACAGAAGTCATTGTAACCACACTGACAAATCATACAGGAATGAATTCTTACGCAACTCCAAATCTCTATGGTATTTCAATGCATCACATACACTTAATGCACTTTGGTCACTTCTAGGCAAAGCCTCAATAATGCATTTTTTTCCTGTTCTGACCTCTTGACCCTGGCCACATAAACTTGAGAGACATATATAACAACAACAACAACAACAACAGGAAAGGAAAGGAAAGGAAATTTCAGGAAAGGAAAGGAAATTTCAGGAAAGGAAAAGGAAAAGGAAAAGGAAAAGGAAAAGGAAAAGGAAAAGGAAAAGGAAAAGGAAAAGGAAAAGGAAAAGGAAAAGGAAAAGGAAAAGGAAAACCCAATGAATTATGGAAAAGTAGACAGTAAGGTCTAAAACTAGAGTATTGTTTTCCATAATAACACAGGAAAAAGCTCTGTGGTAACCTCACATTACCATTAAATACCATAATTACCTGCCAGGCATCAACAGGACCCCTAAGGTAGAGATTTAAGTATTGCCAGCTTGTTTTGGCCATTCCAGACTGTCACTTATGAATAAGAATCTGATGGTTAGCTGGAATATTGCAGTTACTGTAGTATTTTTCTTCAGGCTATCCAAAATGCCATCAACTTTTCAAATGCTAATTTCAAATGATTGAAATTAGTAATCAGGAAATACTAAAAAAATTAGTAAGTACTAATTTGAAAATTATCAAACTTTGTAAAATAACTGAAAATAACAGAATTAGCACTAGACATTTAAAAATTGTTTAAAAGTAATAAAAAACTTGAAGTGAAATGGCTTTCCTGGAATGATCACTGGGCACAAGGATGGATGCAAAGGAAAGGGATTTCTCATGCTAAATTCCTCAGTTTCAAGTCTGTTGCCTCAGATAGTCAAGATTCAATTTAGGTGTTTTTCAGAAAGGGGCAGGGAGGGACACCATACATTTACAGACAAGAGTCAGATGGACCAAGGCAAGCTGAGGCTACCATAATAGCTACCCTTCACTGACTGGCAAAGTAAACACAACACCTAGTGCATTGCGTAAACATGGAGCTCCAATGGTATAATAGATACCTTAGACAAAGAAACTAATTGTTTAGAACATAATAAAGCTGAAAAACTTAGTCAAAGCATTAGCAAAAAACTTGCTATGCTTGTAATGCAGCTATAATGTAAATGCAGATAATATACTTGCTCGACAAGGTTACTGTCACTTAATTAGATGGCGATTCAATGAACCTCTAACTCTGTATTTACTGATCTTACTGAGAAGTTAATTGTGGTATTCTTAATGCTTTCCCATTTAACTATGCCATGCATACATTAACACCATTCTTGGTTTTTAGCTTTGTTCAAAAGGTGAATAGAAAAGCTTCTAGAATGTCAGAGTGATGAAACATTTTTATGTTTCTAGGGGAAAGACCTAACTAGCAGGCAGAAAAACAGACAGCTCCCTCGCTGATCAGTTCTCAATGGATTGACTATATTTACCTGAATTTGTTCACTTCTGTGTAATCAGAATTTCTTCTATTCTAAGTTTCCTAGCCTTTAAAAAACATAATCACTAGCCTAACAAACATTACAAACAGAAAAATTACTAGTTTTTGATTCAGTGAACAGTTAAATTCACAGTTCTTATAAGTGTATTTTTATCTTGTACATGCCCAGCACACCTTTTCCTATACTCCCTGAATAAGCAATTGATATGTCGTCAGGGAAATTTGTAACTGGCAATCAATCACAGCAGTTCCAGAGAGGTGAGTGAACAATGATATGAAATTCAGACACTATTATGAACTGCACTATTTTCAATTTTTTTGAGTTGCATAGGTATGACATTAATGACTTTTAACTTAACAGCAGGTTTTTTTACAGACATTTTCATTGTTCATTTAGCACTGCTCATACAGTAAGAGACAAAACAGCTGTCAAGAAAATGTGAAGGAAAGTCTTCAAATCAAGAAATGTGAGTCTATGTGAAAAGAATTCAGCCAACACTGAGCACCATATTTTAGGAATAAAAGTTTCTACTCCTCAGTTACTACAGTATTTATTTGGTGAAACTACTTGGCACACTGACTCTACATTATCTTAACATATTCCCAAACAAATACGTTATCAGAGCTGACAGTTATGCTTCCCATACGTCTGTCTCATCAATCCCATGGTACAAACTGCTTATCACTGACTAAATTTATTATGTTCTGGGAAGCACCTTAATAGGAAGAACCTGAAATAGGAAATATTGTGCTTAAAAGTACCAATGGAAATGCAAATAAAAAGAGCATAAAGAAAATGAGAGATTTTGTGAGATTTTCAGTCTCAGCTTGTTCTATTCAACTTTCACTCTTCTATTTTCCTGTCAAGCAATGCTAACCTCTTCAATCGCACCTGCTGAAATTCTGTGTCCGGCAACATTGATCACATCATCAGCTCGAGACAGGACATATAAATAGCCATCTTCATCCATATAACCAGCATCCATAGTATCATAATATCCCTAAACATGACACAATAAAAAATAAATTCAAAAAGAGTACTAGGAATACCCATGAATTTACCATGAAATCGACAACAACAACAAGAACAATCACCCCTTTTCCACATTAAATACGCTTATGGTGCTTGAAAGATTTAATTCTGTAATATTTTTCACTATTTTTCTGTCATAATATGCCATGCAGCTCCCTTTCCATAAGGGTTTTGTGGACTTTGTTAATACAGAACAGAAGACAATAGATAAACCTGGATTTCTTTCCAACTCTGCTTACTTTGATTCCTGACAGCTTGGAGAAGGATGTTGCCTGGATCCACACAAGGAGAATGGAACTGTTACAATATAATAACCAGTTGTCAATTGTCCTAAAGATATTCCTGTTTGCTGTATCCAAACATACATCATCATTGTGAAGCAACTGCACACAGGAAATAATTTGCCTGACTAATTCACTCATTTACTTTTATTGATCCAAACCTTCCATTCTGAACATTTGTATAGGGCCAATCTAGTTATTTCTACAAGGAAAGGAGGAAATCTATCCTTGGATAGTTCATCTGACAAGGAAACATAACTAATAAAGTAAGGAGCCTCCAATATATTTAGGTGCACAGTGGACAAGTGTGTATTTTGGACTGATACCAAGCTAGCATGATTGCATGTCAACAGGATTAGTATATTTGAAGCTATGCTAGACTAAGGTCACAGGCTTATATGTTTTATTAGATCAAATGACATAAAATGACTTTTTGGTTCAGAAGCTTGAGGTTTACTTCTTCTGTTTCAGATCTTAAAAAACCCACAGTATGTCTAAGGGCTTAAATTACAGATGAAAAAAGTTTTACCTTGAAATGCTTTTCATTGTATGCACATATATCAAAGATCTTAAATTAAATTAAGATATGAAAATTTATGATAAACTGTTATCCAGGTTAAATCTATTATCATTCAGTTCTGCAGAATTACTAAAAATGTATATAATTTATTTCATAATTCTTACTGGAAATTTTTGGAAATACAACTTCTGGAATGTTTCTTTATTTTCCCAAAGACCTGAGAATGCTCCAGGAGGCAAAGGCAACCTTAAATTGAAAAGAGCAGAGGGAAGTATTAACAAATACAGATATAACAAGTACAACTCATGCTCTCTATTCATACTTGATATTCAGATAAATAATCATTGTTTATACAATCAGAAAACAGTTCAGCTTAATAATATGCTGATAACATAAAAAGACTATATATTATTGTGAACATATACATACAGCTCTGCACTGTATCCAGACCTTATCTTTTATATTACATAAATATCTCAAAAAATAATGTTTGATCTAGTAAACATCATATATTGCACTATAAATATGTTAACAATATTCAGCTTTCAACATTTCTAAGGATTAAGAATCTGTCAGAAATGTGTGCATATATGCTATGATACAGGCAATTTCATTATTATAGGTATCTTTTTCTCTAACACCCATACACCACTCACATGTGCATAGACAGATGGATTATCAGTACACAAATCTTCCATTTCTGTAAAAAGGTGTAGCTCAAAGGACTTCAACCATGAGAATATGAATAAAAATGTTTTTCTTTTATATTGAAACTGTGCTCAATATTATTGGAAATACTGGAGGAGACCTTTGAAAGGATATTGATAAAAGTCACTAGTAGAACTTTCTAAAATAACTGGACTTTTTTTTTTTTTTTTTTTTTAAGAAGCAAAGCTGCAAAATTCTAGTCTGCTTTATTTGCTGAGTTTTGAATGTACAACTGTACACCCCTTCGTCAGTCAACAATATGGGCATGAGAAAATATGGGACATTTCACATACATATCTGTCAGAAGAAGAGAAGCTGCAGAAGCCTCAGCTAACAAAGAAGTAGTTGTTTCTTCCTTCAAATCTCTGATAGGATTAAACACAGATTTCTTCAACTGCCTAAGAGATATATATTCAGGCATATCAACACAAGTTTTATCAAGTTTACCCCTAATGACAGAGAGAATGATCATGCAAGCAAACATATTTATTTAGATAAAATCATAAACACCCCATACAGTTTTTACTAGTATATGCCTGCATTCCTAACTAGCAACTATTTATCTAGAGGTATTTTTTTTCTATTGATAGTGTCCCTGTGACACCTGAAGGCAACATCTCTAGCAGAAAAACACTTCTGTAGCATAGCAACACTGGTATCGTTACAAGACTCCAGTGATGTTTAGGACACAAGAACAGGTGCCACAAGCTCTGTGACATGGACATTTCTAACATTATATTTACAAAAAGAATAGTTATCTACCTATCTATACACACATTAATCTTAAGTATGGCATAAATATAAATATAAATATGATATAAAAGGTACAAACTACATTGAAAAGGTCATGTCATCCAGTAATGATTCAAATACCTGATTTTTTACAATCCTAGTTTTTTCAGCTTAATTCAGCTCAGTTAGCATAACAGAATATACTGCTATAAATACTACTTTCTCTGAGGGCTCTGGCTCAACATGTCCCATAAATCACATTCCTTGAAAGTATGGTTAGGAAAGTATGGCCAGAAATGCCAAGACACTTCCCAGGTAGTCATGCAGGGTTCAGGAGGGCAGGTTGGCTTCTGCCCATCTGGAAGGAATTCACTGCCTTATTTTAAGCTTTTCAATCTTAGTAAGCATCTCTGTGCTATACAAACATGACCTATAGAGTGTTTGCTTTGAAAAAAAAAAGATTAGAAAAACAAAATATTGATTGTGGTGTTTATGTATTTATGAGTTTAAAAGAAAAAAAATCTCTTGCTTAGATTCAAGAAAAATCACTAGAGAATGGCAGTTACTATGGGTGTTGCCTGGTTGCTAATAGCACAGCAATTCATAACAGCCTCAGCCATGGTAAATTTTGCAGTTTAAATTCATTTAGCAGTCTGAAACATCCTTGTGATGGGAGAGAAAGGACAACTCATATTGATAAAGTCCTTAATTTCCCCATAGCTCTATTCCGTACTTTGCAGTTAGTCATTCAATAGAAGAAAAACAATTTTACTGCTGAAATCAGAAAAGCATTTTCCTTTCTGTAATTGTTCAGAAATCTAAACACTGAAGTGTGTAACATATCACCAAAAATATAATGCTTGCTCCTACCCTTTCATTTTATTCTGTTTGTTCAGATTTTTATTTTCCTGGAGGGGTGGGGGAGTGGGTAGAGGAGGGCAGGGGGTGTCTTATGTTTGATTGTGGTTTTTCTCTTTGGTTTGTTGGGGTTTTTTTTAGGAAAATTGCATTGATAAGTACATCCACAGAACATATTTCCTGAGTCAGTTGAAAACAGATTGCTAAACTAGTGGCTACCACAGGTATCTCTATAGTACATATCATAGCACAATACAGACAACATCTGAAAATGTGCTTCCATAGCTTTCTGTGAAAGATTACTTGCAATTAAGACCCCATTCATCCTCTAAGCAAAAAGTGAGTGCCATCATCTATGTGTTCATCTTCCAGGCAAAATAATTCCAGAGCAACAGGCACATACAATTCTTTCATGAGAGTAAAGCTCTTAGCATCATGACTGACTAGAATTTCTAGTTTCTGTGAAAACACAAATAATTATTAAAATTAATAAAGGCAGAATTCAGTCTGCCAAAACATAATTACATGTATTGGAATTTTGTCAGGACATTAGAACTAAAATGTCCAGAGCCAAAAATACCTCCAACCCACTGCTGTCAAGGAGAAGCCAGCCATAAATTCCAAAGGGAGCAGAACTGGATCACAGTTACATGCAGGGAGCCAGAAGAGATAAAATGAGGCAGTCAGAAAATAACAGCAACCAAAAGCAAACATCCCTTCCCTTTCTCAGCCTCTCCATACAAAAACAGGAACATTTTGGGATGTCTGGTTTCACAGAATCACAGACTCAATTAGGTTGGAAAAGACCTCTGAGATCACTGAGTCCAATCTATGACCTAACACCACCATGTAAACTCAATCATGGCACTAAGTGCCACATCCAGTGTTTCATTAAACACTTCCCGGGACAGTGACTCCACCACATCCCTGGGCAGTCCATTCCAATGCCTATTCACTGTTTCAGTGAAGAACTTCTCTCTAATGTCCAACCTAAACCTCCCCTGGTGCAGTTAAGGACTGTGTCCTCTTTTCCTATTGCTGGCTGCCTGGGAGAAGAGGCCAACCACCCACTGGCTACAGCCTCCTTTCAGGTAGTTGTAGAGACCAATAAGGTCTCTATAATAGGGTCTCCCTTGAGCCTCGTTTTCTCCAGGCTAAACAACCCCAGCTCCCTCAGCTGCTCCTCATAGGACTTCTGCTCCAGATCCTTCACCAGCCTCACTGCACTTCTCCGGACCCACTCCAGCAACAGTTTGTGTCTGTTCTTCCTAGGAAATACAACACACATCTACAGGAATTCAATATTTAAAAACTGTTGCCTCTTTGACCAAACACTGAGTTGATACTCAAGACCTTTTGGGGTTATTTTTACTAAGAGGGTATATTAACAAAAAAATTCCAGGTATGCATAAGTAAGCATGATTGCCCCACAAATGGTCCTGCTTTCCTTTCACAAGGGAGAGGACCACAGAAGACCAAGACAGAAGGAAATATATTCCTTCATTATGATTTCCACAATATACAAAGAAGTTGCTTTGCAAGTTTTTCCTTTGGGACATATTCACTGTATTTCCCTAGCTATCTGTTAACTCTCTCTCACCCAACATGCCAACCCACAAAGCAGCCAGTGTTGAGCCTTTGCATCTGCTATCAGTTTGAAGATGAACCTTCCCTTACACTAGTCTTGCTTTGATTTTCCATATGGTCCTAACTCTGGTAGCATCTTCTGTCTTATAATTGCTTCTTCCTTCTGCAGAAGACAGTCACAAGCTTCAACAAATATAAATTCAAGACAAGCTTGCTAGTTTTTTCTAAAACATGAATGTGTTTAGCAGCTATATTGGATCAGGCTAACTAGAGTCAACTCATCCCATTTAACTAGTAAAGAAGAGGCACAATTTCAAATCCAAGTGGAGCTTCAAGCCCAAATTCTACACTGAAATAAATAAAAACATGTGAATGAAAAAGTTTACCTTTGGATTTCAAACCTCAAAGAGGATGTATAGGTCTGAATTTTGATCTGATTTATGCCAGTTTTTCACCAGTACAATTACAGCAGTACAATTATGTCACTCTCCATTTACTCCAGTGAAATCAAGATTAAAATTGTAGAACTATAAGAATATAGATCCAGACCCATTTCTCATTTCAAGGTTGAATACATTTAGAACAGCATTAGGAAAACCAGGTAAACTCTGTAAATTAGTGATGTAAAATATAGGGGTTCGTTTACCAAAGATTTACTCTGGTTACACTTTACAAAGATAAGGAAGTAATTTCATTATAAATTGGAGAAACTAAGACATAGATAAGCTCAACAGCGTCACAAAAAATCCTCTGAAGTACTTTAACAGAAACTGTTTTCTGTTAGAGAATTTTAAATGATAATCATTACTTGTTTTTTAAGCATTGTTTCAAAATTCATTTAGTTTTCATACAACAGTGGCTAACCTTTCACAGAACAGTACACCCTTCAGTTTAGCCCAAGACAATCTGACTCCCATGTATCACGCCCTTTCAAAATGCCACTCATCGAAACGGTGTAAGATTCCTCGTTAATGGAACCAAGCAATTATAGACAGAGCACTCAAAAAATAATTTACACAGAAAATCAGATTTCTGGAAGTACAAATGAAAGTCAAAAAACTACTGGAAAGGCTACCTTGCTGATATTCAGAAAAGACATCCTTTTATTTTATGGCAGACAATGACACAGGCTGTTCATTATAGTCAGTCAAAGCAAGTATAACTCACTGTTAAATGAGTCTGGGCTTGTGAATGCAACTAAATCATCCTAACTGGCAGGTATAATTATTACTCAGCTTTTATGTAGTGCTGTGCATAAACATCACTTTTATAGAAATTTTTGATTGCAAGTTTGAAAGGCATCTGGAAGGTTTTTCAGACACCAGGAATAACAGCACATGAAAAAGGGTAGAGGAGAGTAGAGGATCTCAAATGTTCCAGTCTGCATGAAATACTACCTTAGTTAGCTGAAAGGGGTCACAAAAGTAGTTGGTCTCAGTATGGATCTTGCAGAAAAAACAGAAAAAATACAGTTTAGTGGGGAAGAGAGAAAGCCATCAAAAACTAGTGGAAGTGGTTGGAAAAAGTTCAAAATAAAGAAAGTTCAAATGGGTATGTACTCAGTCAGAGATTTGCTAGAAAACCCATCTTTGGACAAATTGCTCTCACATTGGAAGTCCTACTTATTGTTTTACTTGTAAAGGAAAAAGACAAAGCTGATAAACATGTAGAAGGCTGTCAGGGAGATAAATCTTTTTCTTTTGCAGATTCTTTATCTGAACTGACCTGCCATGGTCCGAGAGGGGATGGGGCCGTGACACAGCGCGGATGGGTTGGGGACACAAGGTAGAGTGCAGATGGAATACTTTATTGAGGCGTGCACAGGATTTTTTATCAGTTCAGGCAGGGAAAGGGCCAGAACATGGGGTGGAGCATGAGACAGACAAATGGGAGAACAAATCGGGATAGGGGCACGGGCAAAAGGGGGAGGAACGTGGAAGGGGCGAATAGCAGCTGTCTCCTCTCTGCAGCTCCTTCAGCCAATCAGCCAAGGGAGCGGGGAAGCAGGGAGCAGGCAAACTCGTGGCAAGCCTGGGCATGTCCAGGCTGTGCACTGTGTAATGTGAATACAATGAAACCACATAATAACAGTAAAGTCCATATAATAAAGTCCTGTCAATTGCTGTATGTCTTTCTCCAAGCCTGGAACCTCTCCCATCCTGAATCTTGCTCCTTCACACTGACCTCCCATACAACACAGGCTAAAAGATGCCATCTACTAAATCCTGCCTGAACCCCACAATTTTTAAAATAGATATCTAGGCTTGACCTAGAAAATGTCAAAGTAAACCACCACAGTCCCAAGAATTTGTTCCAATGGTTTAATACCTTCACTGTTAAAATGGTGTTTTATTTCTCATCTGAATACATCTAGCTTGAGCTTCTGATCTCTTTATGGTAGATTAAATAGCCATCTCTCAGAGATGTTTCTGTCCTCTGGGTATTTCTTGGCCTTGACAAAGTTACTATTTTACTGATCTTGGGTGAACCACATACCACAGGTTTTCATACCACAAGCATTCCAGCACTATAATTCATATTTTCCCTAAAATCCAGTCACTTTCTCAATAGCCTTTTGAAATACGGACATAAGAATCAAACACAATGTATAAACAGATTTATTAACATCATATCCACAGACAGTAATGTTAGCTCCTTTTCAGCTTCCCCATTGAATAACAAGGAATCATATTACCTGCTTAGTTACAGTAGCAGCTACCTTTCATTCAAAGATCTTGTGTATTCAGAGGTTCATCCACTGTAACATAAAAAAGCCCTTTGAAAGGTACTGTTTCTAGGGTTCTTCATCTTATAAATCTAGTAAATTTTCACTTGGCATAGCTGCATAGCTGTGGGGCCATAATAGAGAAGGTAAAGTCTGGTTTTAGGAGTTTGACAGTAACTCCAAACAGGATCTTCTAATATAGCAACATCACTTCTAACAGGCAGTTAAAGACAGCAAGGACTCAGAAACATATGCACACATCTTCCAACATTAACTATCAGTATATATAATTAAAATTGTTTGGCAGAGTTGCTACAGATGGAGTTTATTCCACTTCTCTTTTGGTAGACAAGACTAAGCACCTATCCTAAGCAAACTGCTGTCACTGGAGAGGCATCAGCACACCTGGAAGACAATTTATTCTATCCTAGCTGAATATCTAAGACAGCTAGGATCACTTTTCTTACAAAAATACCTTTCTCTCTCTCCACTGATTACAAGCCTATGTTTTACTACGGCTTCAGGCACTACAGGGGTGAGAATTTTGAAAGATAACTTTCCACTCCGACCTGAGTTACAGATACTTCCAACTACAGTCTATAAAAGGTTGGAGCAATTTCAATTATTTTTGCTCCGTAATGGAATGCATGCACATACTTGACAATGTAATGAATGCACAATCTTACATGTGTAACAAGAAAACTACTTCTAACTATGAGTCTGCTGATTCAGGGAAGATCATGTGTGCCCTTAAAGCCATGCCTGTGTATCCTTGTTGACTTAGCCAAAGATGCTGAGATTTAGGCAGGGTATAGATTTCATCCTGAAAATACACAGTACAATAAGTTCATGTGATACTACTTCAGCCTCCACAGTGGTCTAGTTACATTAGATTAGTAGTGCAGCTGAGCAAAAAACCTCCATACCTCAGCAACTCCACCTCCTATGCCAGCCCACCCACACTGTTAGTGCTGCACATCTGCAGCACAGTCCAGTGCATGCAGTTCTTATGTCTCTCATCCCCAGCTCATGTGCCTGTTGACTCAATCCTCAGCTAACTTCACTAACAATTCATCACAATCGGTACATCTGTCCCAATGTTTCAGCTTTTGACACATTTTCAGTTCACTGAAGGTTAATGCTAATCTTTATATTTCCTTTCATTAATCTAAGCAAGCAGTGAAGACTCTGAACTATCACAACTCTCCAGAAATTTACCACAGAAGAAACAGATGAATGCATTGCCTTTTGTACTTGCATTTGCTGGCAGTTAAGAAGTGTTCAGAGCTGAAGTGTTTTCTGTGACTGAAAACAGAGGTGATTACAGCTACCATACTCATCACAAAGCAGGTACCTGTCTGAGGAAAATGCCATTTGCCTAAAAGCTGTGAAACATCCAGAATACAGAGCTATCATGGGCTGTGGGGAGCAGCCTATCGATTGTTACAGCAATAAGGAAAAGTTCTGGCAACAGTTGAAAAGGCAAAAGGCAAGATAAATGTAACTGATGTTCACAGTGCTATCTAAACAGAGACCTTTTTATCTAAGAGAAGTGCCAAGAAAGGTGTACTTTCAAAAAGAATATTAAAGCTTATGGAAGTCATCTGACATGAGTCTGGTAAATGGTACTAAAAATCACCTACATGATGCACAGTGGGTTTTTCTTATTTCTTTTTTTTTTGCTGTAGTCCTGTCCAATACACCACAGTGTATTTTGTCCAAGTACCACTACAAATTAACACTGTTTCGTGCAAAGCACACAGAGAGACATCTTTCTTTTTCTTACAGCGAACACAAAATACATGTTCTCCCTCTAAGAACGTGCATCGATTGGGATTAGGAAATAGCGAAAGAAGAGGCAGCATCACAACTGTAAGCCAAAGCATGTCAGTCTGCACTGCTGTACTATTTCACTGAAGTGGAAGATAAAAGAATGAAGGGAGTGATTCAGTATCTTGCTCATACATCACAGCAGGAAGGCTTCATCCTATGTCAACAGGCTAGCAATTATGAAAATGGTAAACTCTGCTGTAGTCTAAGAAAAAAAGCCAGCAATCCACCCTCATTCACTCACAAAATTTCATCTGCAACTCCTCAATATCACAGGACAGTCTCGTATCCGTATCAGAGACAAACACACTTTTCAATCCTCGTTACTTCAATCATTGTGTTTTATATATATATATAAACTTCAGTCAAAAGACAATCAAGCCAGGTAAGAAGTTTCCCTTAACTGTAAGATACTTATTTTTCTTACTTTACCACAATATTTCCCAAAGTCTTGGCCTTCACTGGTTCTTTATTTTCATCCAGAATCATCACTGTAAAAAAAGTAATATAGGAAGAAAACTCAAGTTTAGTAGTGTCGTTTTAGGTGGAGGAAAGTGTCTTTCTTTAGGGATATCAATTTATGTCACACTTCAGTGTGGTAATACACCAAACAACAAAAGGAATTAAGTAATTTGGGAGTGCCAAACTGGATAATCTTATGGCCTTATTAACATTCAGCCTTAAGCACAAAAAGCACAAATACTCACGCTTTGGCAGCAGAAATAGGGAAACAAAGTCTCAAAAGGAAAAAACAGAGAGCTGAAATTTAAAAGCAACCCTCATACTGGAAAATCTAAACTTCCAAATAGCAAAAGACCATTAAGATACACAACAAATATAAAGAAAAACTATGTGGGTAACATGAGCAAGAAATAACAGATTACTGAAGGTTAACGCAGTTAATGTGAGAAATACTATTGGCAGTAAATAAGTACACCTGCTTTTCAAAGGCTCTCAGGAGTCTCAGAAAGATACTCCCCAGCTAACAAAGTTTATTGTAGTCTAGCACAAAGCCATAAAGTACCTTGTGAACTACCCAAATCTGCAGAGCAGGGTAATGCTCAAGTACAGCACAGAATACAGACCTTCCAAGTGAAGCTTTTTCCCTGGATGACACTGGCCCACCACCTTCAGTGAAAGCATCATATCCTGATACTGAAATTTCTGAGGAAAAACACCTGAAACAGAAGCTACTACAACCATCCATTCCATCTAAAGGTGTGGGCATAAGAAAGGAATGACAAATACCAACTTGGCCTTTGAAAAATGAAGTTAAATAAAGTGAAACAACTAAACCATAGAAGAACAGGAGGGAAGATTCTGACAGATTGGGCTCATAAGGATTTAAAAACATGCCTTTTGAAGCCTCCCCAAGCAAAGAAAGCAATGTTCCTCTGAATCTAAATTACTAAAAATAATCTTACACTCTATATTAAAAGGTCACAGAGGAAATGAGGAAAAGAAAATTACAGACTTCTGACTAAAACTCTGCTAAGGTTCGTATGAGTAATATCATATTCTATCTGTCCAAACAATGCCAACATTTATTATTTCTGGCTGAAGCTATTCCTTCAAAGAAGATGGTAATTTTTAAGTAACTGAAGAGAGCCTGCTGAAAGCAATGGCTCAGCACATAGACACAAGCAAGTACACAAGGCCAGTTTTACAAATCAGTATCTTGGTGTAACTGGGACAGGAAATCAAAAGGATGACTGGACACATAGAAGACATTTAGTAAAATCATCAGGAACAGCATAAGCAAAACCCATTCATAATCTGCAAACATGTTTTGTATTTATTTATTGTTAGGTGGTCTAAGAACATGGTAGATTTGTTCATGTTAGATTTGGAGAATTTAGGCTCAGAACACACAATGAAAAGATCCACTCATATGTAGTTTTCGATGTTTTCTCTCCTATTTTTATGGTATTAGAGTAAAATATAATCGTTTTTTTGTAACTGATTCATCAAGGTACTAATCTCAGTCTTCAGTCTCCTCCTTGCAAGCTGCTTATTTCAATGTAGACAAATCTGGAGATCAGAGATACTATACTGTTCGCTCCTGAATTACTTAAGAACTGAATTATTTCTTCAAAATGTGGGACTTGTTTCAGTCTGAAAATGCAATGAAATTGTCTGGAGAGGATTCAAGTAGATCAAAGGAAAATCACAACAAAATCTCTGATTTAAGGCAACAGACCTAGAAATTAACATGGTATCCTGAATCACTTATAAACGTAATTTGTGCCACTGCACTTTTATATCATAACTCTTATTCTCTGTGTTCTTAAAAATCAGCAAAGAATCAGTTTACTTTTAGCAATATGTAATAGGAAAGAATTTGTCTGTGTTAAAAAAAAAAGTAGATCTTGTAACTTTGTATTCATATTGCAGCATAAATACAACATGACTTATCAACCATTAAGAGCTGCATGTATAATCTAAAAATACAGAATCTATCACCTAAATGGTTTAAATATCCTCTCTAATTAATACAGTAACAGCAGGAAAATGCAGTAGTCAGTAAAGAGTAATTTCAAAAATCAGTATTTTACGAATGGCTGCATTACAGGACATATTTGGTCAAAGACTGAAAGAGGTAAAGTTATACCATAAATCTTTAGTCACTTTTAGTGCTCATTTTTTGTTTCTCTTATAAGGTATGCTAAAGACATTGTCTTCATTCTACTTCAAGAAATTCTTTAATTACACTAGTCCCAGTGCTCCAAAGTATGCATTGGAAATTTTTATATTCCTGCTACTCATATTTCTTTCTCATCCTGACTATCATCTGATAGCATGCATGATGCAACTACTTTCTTCCACTCTTTCCTATTTGTTACAACTCTGGACTAACTCATTGGCATTGTTTTAAAGTTGTTTTTAAGCTAATGCTTGTCCTCATGCCATAACTGTAAATTCCAAAACAAAGAGCTGCTGAAAATGTTCTATTTTCTTTAATGCTCACTACCAATTATATGTATTAGAAGAAAAAAAACAGTTTAGCTCCTGTTTTCTGCTTTCTGCCCAATTATGTGAGAACTTTTCCTGAAGATCATCTGATCTTTAATGTAATTACTTTTCAGACTTCAAGTAATTCTTGAAACTGTGTTAAAATCAGGGGTATTAAAATATTTTTGCACCCTCTGCATGCAAATACCTTCCAGACAATGAGTGCACATCCTTTTCACATTAGTCCAAAGCCTACCATTTCTCCCAGTTGGAAATAAAAATGCTCCACAAATACTGAAAGATAATGTGCTTAACAACTCTCTCAAATTGTGTTAAAGTGCAGAAGCATTGTGGAGAAGTGTAAACGAGTATTGTGTCACAGTATGTGCTACCCCTTTCATATCATAAAGGCAAGAGTAGCTGATCAGTTTTCTTGAACATAACTCTGAATTTTTTATTCACAATCACATTCCATGACACAAAAAAGTAGAATTTCCTGTTTCAGGAAGGAGGAAAATGTGTTAGAAAGACTGTAATTTGCTTTCGCTACAATTAAGGAGCACTTACTGAGGAATAGAAGCAATTTCCTTTTCTAGTAACATTTTTAGCATAGTATTACCATTATATCCTGGCACAGGTTTTCCTGCCTGTCCGGGTGGAGGTGTTGTAGAGTTTCCCAAACCAATACAGGAAGCAGTAATTGCAGAACCAGATTCTGTTAAGAGAACACAAATATAATCAGTTAAGGTTGTTCTTAGTTTCATTAGGAATTTATTGGTTCTACGTTTTTTGATGCTTAGCACATCAAAATAAAAAAATAAAATAAAATTCCTAGACAAGCAATGAAGATTTAGAATTCAGAGAATCACGGAATATCCTGAGATGGAAGGAACCCAAAGGGATCATAAAAGTCCAACTCCTTGCCCTGCACAGGAGAGCCCCAAGAATCACACCATGTGCCCAAGAGCATTGTCCAAACACCTGTTGAACTCTGTCAGGCTTGGTGACAGGGAGTGCCCAGTCATCCTCTGGGTGAAGAACCTTCTTCTAATATCCAACCTAATTCATCCTTGATACAGCTTCATGACAATCCCTTGGGTCCTATCACTGGTCACGATAGAGAAGAGATCAGTGCCTGCCCCTTCTCTTCCTCTCATGAGGAAGTTGTAGATTGCAATGAGGTCTCCCTTCAGTCTCCTCTTCTGCAGGCTGAACAGACCAAGTGACCTCAACTGCTCCTCATATGGTTCCCCTTCCAGACCCTTCACCATCTTTGTAGCCCTCTTCTGGATATAATTAGCTTAATATCTTTCTTATATTGTGGTGCCCAAAACTGAACACAATATTCAAGGTGAGGCCACACCAGTGCAGAGCAGAGCAGGACAATCCCCTCCCTCGACCAGCTGGCGATGCTTTGCCTGATGCCCCCTAGGACACGGTTGGCCCTCCTGGTTGCCAGGGCACTGCTGACTCATATTCAACTTGCCATCAACCAGGACCCCCAGGGCCCTTTCCACAGGGCTGTTCTCCAGCCTCTCGTTCCCCAGTCTGTTTGTACATCCGGGGTTGCCCTGTCTCAGGTGCAGAATCCAGCCCTTGTCTTTGTTACACTTCCTTGTCTCATATCTACTTAATCTGACAAGCTCTCTCTATTTATTCCAAGTAGCCTGACCCTGCTTCCATCCCTTACATATTTCCTGCTTACACTTGAGAAATTACTTTATTCATCCACACAGGTCACTTGCCCTCTTTGCCTGATTTCTTTCTCATTGGGATGCAGCATTCTTGAGCCTGGAAGAAGTGAGTCTTGAGTATCAATCAGCTCTCTTGGATCCCTCTTCCCTGTAGGACCTCTTCCCATGGGATTCTTCCAAGAAGATCCCTGAAGAGGCTAAAGTTAGCTCTCCTGAAGTCCATGTTACAATCTTACTTGCTGTCCTGCTTCCTCCTTGCCCACTACTGAATTCCACAATCTCACAGTCACTCCAGATGCAAGGCTGCCCTCAACCTCCACATCTCCAACAAGGCCTTTCCTGTTTGTTAGTATAAGGTCAAGGAGCACACCATTCCTTGTGAGATCCTCCACTACTTGGGTTGGAAATTGTCATCAATGCTTTCCAGTAAGGCCTACGTCTTCCTAATTATCCCCACAGTTAGGCAGTTAGAAATTTCTCCCTCATCACCTTCCTCTCTTTCTTAAGATACTTCATTTCACATAACATTTTTATACTACCAGAGTTGTTATCGCAGAAGAAGAATAAAAACTATCAAGTCATATAATAGAGTCTAAGACTGAAAAAAGACCGGCAGCTCTTCACTCTTTCCCTTTACGGAAAAATCTACAGAGATTACTTTTTGCCAAGGGTCACACAAAAATTCTGGTATCCACCTTTTCTTTTCTTTTTTTTCCCCAAATATGCCTTTTTGGTTTTTTGGTGTTTTGCCTTTATTTTAAAGAGACCGAACTGCTAGTGATTAATGACTCAAACATTTGACTACCTGCAGTGAGCACCCATGTGCTGTAAGAGACTAGACTACTGGTGCAAGGCACTACAGCAAATTATAGCAAAGAAGTGAGAGAAGCCACAGGGAGACAGCAGTGACTAAAGAATTTGAAGAACTGTAAATTCTTAAGGATTCTCCGATTCAGTTTTATCAACTGTCAGAAAGAAGTGTAAAATTAAATCCAGTTCACATATTATATGCAATTAGGTTAGATTAAAGACAGTCCACCATCCTAAACTATAAAAGGTTTTGCTGGCTAATAGTGAAACTTCAAGAACTCTTTCATGCATTGTTTGGTATTTCATTTCACTCCTTACTCCCGAGGAGTATTACAGATGCAGCAGAAAAAATCTTAGTGCTCATAATTATAATTATAATTTATTTTTCCTCAATCTGACTGCATTCTTAACTTATTCTTCTTGTGAATTAAGCTGTCAGGTGCATAAAGGTGCATAAAGAGTGACAAAATATGGTGAGTAGCAGGGGTCTATCTTAAAAAGCCCTCAAGAAGTACCAACTTTTAGGTGAGTTACACAAGTTGAATGATTCGCAATCAAGATTTTCCTAGTTACCTTACAAGGAGTTTCTCAACTGCTTAAAAGCTTAAGTGAAGCTAGGGTAAAGCTAGAATATGCAATAAATCAACTGGAAAGAATTTCAGTTAAGACTTTCTTGCTCAAATGTTATTTAGAGCAACTATCTCTTCTAAAGCATAACCTTGTCCATCAGGCTGCTTACAATTCAGTTTATATTCACATGGCAGCAGATCAGAACAACTTGTTACCTTGAGGTGGGATGGCTGCAAAATATGTTTGTTCATCCCACTAGCACTCTATAAAACAGAGTGTAAAACCTCTACAAGTTAACTGAAAGAGTCATGGAAAATCAACAGTGTTTTTTCATCTATTCTTCACATCCAAGTAAAATTAAATTTGACCTTTCTCACTTGGTTAAATTGTACATACAGACTTAAAAAAGCTCTTCTTAACTGCTTAACTTTATCTACTCAGAAATGGTCATGTAGAAACTTCACTCAGAAAACATGGAAAATGAAGCAATCCATTTTTTAAAAGGTGACTAAGGAAACTAGAAAGATCTATTAATTAAACAGACATTCAGAACAGATATATTTGTACAATAGGACCGGTACATTGCACAAAAATGTGGCTTTTTTTTTTGTTATGACTAGTTGCTGTTGAGTATTTCCACCTGAAGTTCCCCTTATTCTCTACATTCTTTATTGTATAAGAGCACCAAGTGTGCTCAATCAACAGGGCCATACACCACAGACACCACCGAAAAAGGTTACTGTGTGGAAAACAGCTAAAATGGACAATGATGTGACAGCCATATTAATTTTCAGTATCCATTATATGAAGAAGGATGATTTTGTATTTAAAATGCACAACTGAACACTGCATGGTTGACTTGAGCTAATTTAATTGTGTATCAGTGAAGATAACTCTAAAAAAAGGTGGTCTCATTATCCTTCTACACTTGCACATTCCCATCTTCCTTTTCCCCATATTTTTACAAAGAATTAGATTGAACTCATTCATTTTTTTTTAAAAATTATTATTAGTCTTTCTTTCAGCCAGGTTAATTTTTGCCTAAATCAATGCTCTGATTCTGCTTGTCATGCAGCTACATGCATGGTAGGACCGGCCTAAGAGCAGGGGTACAAAGGCAGTGTCAGAGATGAAGGAGGAATGCTCCACTCCCTCTTTCATTGGTGATTTGCCCTTACAGAAGCTTAGACCATTCACAAATCACACATCCAGATAGCCACCGCCAAGCTATTTATCTCAGCATGTTTCATTTAAAACAGGAATAGTATCACAAATATTTCCTTCCCCCAATCAATTTGTCCATTTAGACTAATTCATGGCTTAGGGTATCACTTTACATTTTAAATGTCAAATATAACACAGGTACACACTTAAGTGCTTTCATAAGACAGGCCATGTATCTGAAACAGAGCTTTAGCAACAAATAGCTTTCTGAAAGCTGATCTATGTAGTTACTCTATTTTAATTTTGTATTAGATCCTAACCTGCAGTGGTATCAAAGAATGCCTCCCACCTCAGCTGGGACACTAGTTCCAGTGTTTAAAAGGAAATACTGCAGTATATTCAGTGTTGCACTAATTAAAGCATATTCTTATTTAAATAATTGGGCAAGCCTTCCCATATTATAGCACTGAGAATGACAGCTTCAAGCCTGCTTGCACAATCTAGAAATTGTGATGTTAGTATTAACCTGACTGTGGAGCCATAGGTACATCAACAGCTGTGTACAGCTATCTGGAAACAGAGTATTTCCTTCATTTCTTGCAAATGTACAGATGCATGAGATAAAAGAAGATGACAAAATAAGCTAAAGGTATTTGAAAATCTGAAGACCATTTCTCAAAAAAAAAAATCCAATTTGTTTAAAAAGTAATATATTTTCTGAAAGTACCTGAATTTCTATGCTTATTCTTGGAATTGAAGAATAAGCATGAAGAGAAACCAGCAATTCTTTTCATATTTTCTAAATGCTTCAAAGCACTTGTAGTCATAATGTCTCTATTACCATGAAAACATATTACACTTGTGAAGGCCAAATACTTCTTGTATAACAGTTCTATTTCTGTATTTAATTCACTTATTTGAAAACAAAATCAACTCTTAAACCCATAAAAATTCACCCAAGGTTCCCTTTCACAATCTTATCCAGCCACAGAATGTATTCACAAACTGTGTTGTTTTTTGCTATCATACATATACACAAGGCCTGCGAGGATTTCAAAGCACATCCAAGTAATATCTCCACAATTAACATTCAAATCTAACTAGCTTAGCTAGAGGTTGGTGGGCCGTGACAAATATTAAAACCAAAGCAGGAAATAATTTGGTTATCAGAAACTGGCAAGCTAGTAATGAAGCACCAGAAGTTTATGCATTCATTCTGTAAGTGCACCAAGCTCCTTTGCCTCCAAACGGTATATTACAATGCACATTTTATAAGTTGTCTATAGCAAAATGACAGCCAAGATTAGAGGAGAATAGAAAGCTTTTTGGTCATATTTGGAAGATGTCAGATGGTATGTTTAAAGATTCATTAAGTCAGGCAATGCATTGAATTAGAATATATTTTCAGACTAAAAATTAATTTCAAATTGTTTTCCTCCTACTGTGACACCATAGCTCACACATGATGAAATTCTAA